CTTTTCTACGTTTTATGGCTGGCGAACAACACTAGGTGATGAAAAATAGCTTTAAAATATTTACTTCAACAGCAACAATTGATGACATCATCCATTACTTATGACTTGATATGCAGTTTCTAAGCAGTGTTTATATGTCTGTTTTCTCGTTTTTTTTTCTTTCCACTACTTGATGTCGCAACTTAAGCATTGATTAAATTTTTTTTACGTCTAGCCCACGACTCGTGCTCGTCCCTTTAAAGGGTAGGTATTCGATGATTTAACCGTACTGCCTGAGGCGATTAATATGGCTTATGGCGTCATCCTTTTGTCCGGTTTTTTAATCGAGTGCCTTGTGTCAGTCAAGTTTCTTTGTGGGCATAAGACATTTGTTGACCGCGGATAATTGTTGCTTTCCTAGCTGATTTTCAGAGTTTATGGCAAATCTGGGCGGTTAAAGAAAACATTCAACCTCACTCTCCATGGCGTTCAAGTCAGTACTTTCATTGTTCGCTATCGGCTGCGTGAGTGTTAACGTTGGTTTCATGGGTGGCTAAGCATCGCAATATTAAGTATAGTGAAAGCAGTATAAAACACGGTTGAATTACATACAGTCTAAACAATATGACCAGTTGGACAATTGTCCGGTACTGACGTTTCGACGCTTGCCTGACGGGCCTTCAAGGCAGTCTGATGGGTTGATTTCGGATGCTTCTTTCTATTGTTCACAACGTTTCTAAGATTTTAAGCCAGAAGATTAGGATAGTTCCTTGTTTAATTATGTTGAGATTTTGCATGCGTAATTTTACTTAACGAGTCGAAGTCTAAAGCTTTAAAAGATTGGACGGATCTAAGTCAGTATAATATATTTTATTTCACCTCTCAAACAAGTTATCATCATTCCCCGCATGAGTATCACAGATTGTTTTTTGGAACCAATCTTATATACATGTTCTAGCGTTTGCTTTACACCTTGCCATCTGTTCCGTTTATGTCTTTGTTTGTGAGGATCTTCATCTCTTAGAATTCGCCGCGTACACGGAGGATCACATTAATGTTCAAAAATATGGCTTCGTACACCTGGGCATGTTAATAGCTGCATGATTTGGCGAAACCGACTTTCATGGTGTTATGCAACTTCCCTGAGGTACAGCTACGCACTAAGAAACTTCAGACAGCACGACGATATACTCTGCTTAAATATCTGCTTAGGCAATTGAAGGCAAATAGGCGGTATCGTAACATCGCGAAGCTCGGTTTGATGAAGATATGTGCATGTTGACAGTGAATATTTCGTTCATGCCTAGGCGTTGGTAGTCATCCTTAAAAACAACAAAACATGGTTTATTTATTCACAGGGCGAATAATTTGCTCACTCGAATGGTTAACCAGTACCGACGTTTCGGCCTGTGTCTCACGGGCTTTCTTCACGGCAGAAAGGTAGGTGGGTCTCAGAGGTTCTTTTTCTTCATTCGCAGTGATTCGTATTTTTGGAGCTAGATGAATCGTTTGCACTGTATATAAATAAACCGCTGTTTGTGCTTTTTCTATATTAGAATTATTCTTTATTCAGTACTTTGTAAATTGTTTTGCATTTCAGTTGATATAACATATTCCGATCAGTTACCTGATGCCTGCGTAGTTTTTGTTATTGATTGTATGCTTGATGTCTATTACTGTCCAGAGGGATGATTCGTCCCGGCGGATATGAATACAGTGTTCTCTGAATTAAATCTTTGCTAGAGCAGTCAAGCAGAAACAACTCCACTCTGAAGGTTCACCGTCATCTACCGTTACTCTCAGCCATGGTTGTTTATAAACGTTGAGATGAAATGACTGTTACAGACTCTGAAGATTGATGTTTGGTTGTGTGAGGTCTCTAACCGACATTTTGGTTTAGACTATTCTGGCTAAAAGGCAACGTCGGGAACTAGAAGAGCAGCTGGATTTCGAAAACCGGATTATCAGCGACTTAGATTATTCTTCGTCGTTCGATTTCATCCGGGACTGTGTGGCCCTGCAGATCCCGGAAAACATTTGTCTTAGTTTGATATGTCTGCTTAGCCTCGTGCAGAACGGACTTGCTCAGAAGGATTACAATACTCTACGAAGCGAGTTTCTACAAGCATATGGACATCGCCACTTGGTAACATTTTTTGCTTTGAAGCAGTTAAGGATATTATA